ACACACACACACACACACACACACACACACACACACACACACATCCACACACACACACATCCACACACACCACACACCACACACACATCCACACACACACCACACACACACGCACACGCACACGCACACGCACACACACACACACACACCACAACACCCACACACACACACACACACACACACACACACACACACACACACACCACACACACACACACACACACACACACACACGAACACACACGCACACACACCTCACACACACACACACACACACACACACACACACACACACACGCACGCACGCACGCACGCACGCACGCGCGCGCGCACGCGCACGCACGTACGTACGCACGCACGCACGCACACATGCACATCCCAGAGCTCCTCAAAGATTTCTCGGGTCGGCGCGGGAGCCTCCCGGCCGCGCCTGTAGGGTGGTGGGTCCAGCGCCGATCCAAGAAATCAGCGCGGACCTCTGCAAGTTTATCGGTGGGTCACAGGTGGTTCCTCGACGAAAGCCACTGGGTCCTGCTGGCTCGCTCGTCCTCGTCATCAGAGCTCGGGGGTCGCGGATCACTGCGCGATGCAGGTGCTGATTCGAGCCTGAATTGAAGGATTCGGTGAAGAACCTTCGCACGCAAAGTCCAAACTCTCAGCTGATGGGTCCAAATGCAACCGCGTTGCAAACCGATGCTTAACACTCCTATAAAGTGAGGGCCCTACATGCACCGAGATCGTTCCTTACGAACTCAGCGCCTTCGCCTAAAGGAAGGGGAGGACATTGAGTACTCTATGACTTCGGACCCTCGGAGCCCTAGCGTTCATGTTCGCACGATCTCTGCTATAAATAAAAGATTCGGGCCTCAAGTACATACGTTACTCTCCTATGGGTGGTTGGGTGGTTGTTGCTAGAAACGTGCGTACACTCTGAGGCCACGGCCTCCGTGGTAGGGGGGGGCCCCTCCCGCCAAAATGTGCCGACCGAGAAGGCGCAGCTGAAAAAAGAACGTTCCATAACCAGCGCGCCCACTGAAACTAATTCGGAGGACGCCGACTGCGCGCACAGACCAGACATGGTCAAAATTAGAATGGGTTCTGGATCGGTAGGTGTGTGTGCGTGTGCGTGTGTGTGTGTGTGCATGTGTGTGTGTGTGTGTGTGTGTGCGTGTGTGTGTGTGTGTGTGCGTGTGCGTGTGCGTGTGCGTGTGTGCGTGTGCGTGTGCGTGTGCGTGTGCGTGTGCGTGTGCGTGTTGGTGTGCGTGTGCGTGTGCGTGTGCGTGTGCGTGTGCGTGTGCGTGTGCGTGTGCGTGTGGGTGTGGGTGTGGGTGTGGGTGTGTGTGTGTGCGTACGTGCGTGCGTGCGTGCGTGCGTGCGTGCGTGCGTGCGTGCGTGCGTGTGTGTGTGTGTGTGTCCTGCGACGGGCATCTCGCGAGGCCAGGCTCGGCACGTGCGTGTGCAGTCGGTGCCCTCCGGGGAGACGTCACCCGGAGGTGGTCCCTGCTACGTAGTGGAAAGGCTGCGGTATCAGTGTACACCAGACGAGGGCTGCAACAAAAAAATGTGGCGCGCGCGCTGCGCGGTCAGAACGAGGCAGGCTGATTATATTCCTCCTCCTCCTCCTCCTCCTCCTCCCTCTCCTGCTCCTCCCTGCTCGTCGTATTCTTCCTTCTCCTCTCCGTGTTTCCTCCTCGTTCCTCCTCCCCCCTCGTCCCTCCTCCTCGCTCGCTTCCACCTTCGAGAGCGCGCCTCTGGCCATCGCACCCTCGCAGGGTGCCCGCGGCGCCCCTGTGCACAAACCTGGCCGCGCCCGAGCTCGAGGCAGAAGTCCCGAGGGCGGCGGGAAGGTCTGGCTCAAGAAGGGTGCCTTCGACGGCTGGTGGGGCGCCTCGGGTCGGGCTGGAAGGACTCCTCCTCCTCCTCCTCCTCCTCCTCCTCCTCCTCCTCCTCCTCCTCCTTTTCTTTTTCCCTCGAGTCCAGCGAAGCCAACCTTGTCCAACGAACCTTTCTGGCAGCCTCCGAAGGGCAGGGCGTCACCTGCGAAGCAAGCCCGGAGCGCACTGCTCGGTGCTCCGGTCCGGCCGGAGCAGCAGCAGGCGACCCTCGGCGGCTCCCCCCGCCGGCGTCGCGACTTCCACCCTGCAGCCTGCCGCCTCGCCTTCCCGAGACGCCCTTGAGGGACAACGACAGGGAGGGATAGGCATGGGGGGGGGAAACTCAAGGGGCCCAAGGACACACAAAGAAACACACACTCAAAGAAAAGGATTCCCCACATTTCCCCATCTGTTCTGGGTTTTTGCCTTCCCGCCCAACTCCCATCTTTTCCCATATGTTCTGGGGAATCGACGATTCATTGTGTCTGTGTTCTGTTCCCTCCCGAGAAACGTCGACTTGGCATCGGCGATGCCTCGCTGACAGGTCGCCGCTAGGCCCCCGATAGTGCACCCGCGCCTTCCTGGACGGGTTCGTTGCCGGCGCGCAGAAGGGGGTGGAGGGAGGGGGGGAGGCTTCTTAGAAGGAGGCTGCTCCTTAGAAGGCGGCGGCCTTACATCTATACACCCTGCGAAATGCTTAAGAAATCATGGGTTAAGAAATTCATAGTCTCAGAATTTGAATTAAAACCTAGAATCTCGATTGAAATCATTGGATTTACACTGGAACCTTAAGAATAATCGAGACTCTGGTCGAAAACTTAAGCTTTCTTAAGCATCGCCTAAGGTGTACATAAGGACCGCGCCTTCTAAGAAGCAGGGGTGCTTCTAAGAAGCCTTCCCCCCTCCCCCCACCCCCCTCTGCGCGTGGCCGAGTTCGGGCTATCGGGCCCCCTATCGACGATCAGTGGGCGGTTGGGGGTCGATGCAGCCCCCCTGTGCCTATCCCACCCTGTCGTTGCCCAAGAGCCCTGCTGCGTACTCACTCCCGCCCCCCGGCGCTCAGTTTTTCCTGCTGCCATCCATTGGCGCCTCGTCCGGCCACCCCTCCTCTCCTCCTCCCCGGTCGCTCCTCCTCTCCTCCTACCTCTACAGATGCCCAATGCGAATACTACTCTCCTCTCTCCCCTGATGACGTCCAGAAGATGTTCGGCACCATCCCGCGTATTGTTTTTACACACATGGTTCCCAAGAGTTGGGTTTTCGCCTGGATTTGTGTTTCAAAATGTTGCTCCCGCTGATGCGCTGGCCTCATTTTCGGGCCTCCGCTCGTTCCGAATCGTGCTCCCGCTGAAGCGCTGGCCTCATTTCCACGTTTCTGCTCCTTCCGAATCGTGCTCCCGCTGAAGCGCTGGCCTCATTTCCACGCTTCTGCTCCTTCCGAATCGTGCTCCCGCTGCAGCGCTGGCCTCATTTCAGCGCTTCCGCTCATTCCGAATCGTGCTCCCGCTGCAGCGCTGGCGTCATCATTTCCAGCGCCGTGCCACGGCATGCAATGCAATGCAATGCTATGTGGTGTTCGGGTGTGCGATGCCATGTCTTCAGCTGCAATGCTCTGATATGCAGTGCTTGACTACGCAGTGCCACGCCATGCTATGCCATGCTTACGCTTTGATCTTCAACGCCATGCTATGCCATGCTCTGCTCTGTACCGCTGTGCGATGCCTTCCTTTGCATTGCAATGCTTTGTGATGCAATTCTTCACCACGCAACGCCACACCATGCTATGACATACTACGCTGTGTCGTGCTCTTCTACGCCCTGCTATGCCGTGCTCTACGATGCATCGCGCGCCCTCTCGGGATCATTGCCCTGCTCGACATCCGACTGTGCGAATAGAGAAGAGATTTACGCCATGGTAAGAGATGGGAGGGAGGGGTAGGACGTCAAATATGACGCGAGCGCACCTAGCTTGGCCCTACCCCCTCCTTTGCGAAGCCCCAGGGACCTGTCATGGCTTTAGCTAGAATGCTTCTTCCTCCCTGCTACTCTTCCAACTCCTCCTCAACCCCGCATCCTCAAAAACTTACGGCAGGTCCGTGTCGTGTCGACCACGGCGTTGGTTCCTGACACCGCGGGGATCGTTCAACCTTGAACGATCGGTCGTTGCCGCAACGTCCGATCGTTCAACGTCGACCGATTCTGGGCCATCAACGGCGTTCAACGTTGAACGCCGGCGGCGAGGTCGCCGCCGGTCGACACGACGCGAACCTACCGTATCGGGTCGGGGGGAAAGGGGGGATAGCAAAGGGGGGGGTGAGAATCAGCTCACGTAGCTGATTTTCCCGGCGCCTTCCGGCGCCCAGGGGCGGCGATGTATCGAGGAATGGGCCCCTCGGTGAGGCCGCAACCAGCTGCATGCAGCAAATTTCGTAACCCCCCCTTTCCCAATCCCCCCCTTTCGCCCGGCCCGACCGTAGCTTGGCGAGACTTTCGCCCACCGGTCGGCCCCCTAGGCGCTGCCCCAAAGGGAACGGGGGCGGCGGTGGTTCGCCGCGGGCCTCTGCGATCCGCCGCCCCCATGGCTTTAGCTAGAATGCTTCTTCCTCCCTGCTACTCTTCCAACTCCTCCTCAACCCCGCATCCTCAAAAACTTAGCTTGGCGAGACTTTCGCCCACCGGTCGGCCCCATGGGCGTTATGCCTTTAAGGGCACGGGGGGGCGGCGGCGGCTCGCCGCGGGCCTCTGCGATCCGCGCGCCCCCAGGGCCTGCCGGAGTGGCGTGCTCGCGTGCTGGATCGAATGCATACTCCAGAGTTCGTAAGAAAAGGGAGGGGGGTCTCATTTCGGGGGGGGTCTCTTCCAAACTATCTTGGAGGGCCCCAGAGGGGGGGCCTCTCGGGCCCCAGAGGGGGGCCCTCGAGGACCCAAAAAGGCTACTCCAGATTTCGTAATAAAAGGAAGGGGGGTCTCATTTCGGGGGGGGTCTCTTCCAGGCTATCTTGGAGGGCCTGGGGGGTCTGGGGACGATGTTTTGGAGGGTTCTCCCACGGAGGAGGTCTGAAATGGCTCGTCTTGGAGTGCCCAGACCCCCTCCCTTTTATTACGAAATCTGGAGTATCCTGGTTCCCTTCAGACTGTCCTGGTGGCCTCCGGCCCAGCCAGCCGGTCCTGCGGAGCACAGCTCATTGTTCAGAAGATCCGCGTCCACGACGGCCAGGAGGGCCTCCAAAGCGCCCAGCATGGCCCTGTGAGGCCTCCGAGATGGTCCAAGATGTCCTCCAAGTCTGCCGAGATGGCCGAAAGTCGCTTCAGGAGGGCCCCAGAGGCGTCCAAGACGCGCTGAGACGCCACCATGAGGCCCTCCAAAAGTGCGCCAGAAGGCAAGCATCACTGACTTCCCCGAGGTTTCTCAATCGTTTCGGTGTTCTCGCCCACAAAGGCTTCCGACAGCGACAGACGGCCCACGAGGCCTCCAAGATGGTCCAACGACGGCCCAAGATGCCCCAAGAGGGCCGCATAGCGGCCCCAACGGGGTCCAAGATGGCTCCCAAGATGGCCTCCAAGACGACCAAGATGACCTTCAAGAAAGGCCAAGATAGCCCTAGACTGCCTCCAAGATGTTCCGAGATGACAAGGGGCCACTTCTTCATCCGCGCCCTCCTCATCATCCTCCTTCTGCAAATACTCAATATGAATACTAATCTCCTCTCTCCCCTGACTCTGTCTGGAGCGTGTCGCGTCCTCTCCGCGTATTGTTTCTAACACAGAAGACTTCATTATTTGGTTTTTTCTATGTGCATTTTCAATCCACTCGTTTCTGGTTCTTCCAAAAAGGTGCTCCCGCTGCAACGCCGCCTACATTTCCGCGCTTCGGTCATTCAAAACCGTGCTCCCGCTGCAACGCTGGCCTTGTTCCCGCGCCTCCAGATGGCACTTGGCATTCGAAAGCGCCCACATCGGGCAGGCACCGTTGCGAAGGACATGGAGCTGGCATTCCAGACAGGCCGTCTTCTCGTAGACGCGCTACTTACCCTCCAAGGCATCCGGTGCCATGCCACAGCATGGAATGTGATGCTGTATTGTGCACCGCTGTGCGTTGCTATGCTTTGTGATTGAATGCTTCACTACACAATGCCACGCCATGCTATGACATGCTATGCTCTGCCGTGCTCTTCTACGCAATGCTTCCATTCAACGCGTACCCTCTTGGGACAATTGCCCTGGGATATCTACGCCATGGTCAAGGATGGGAGGGAGGGGGAGGACGTCAGATGTGGCGCTAGCGCACCTAGCTTGTCTCCTGCTCCTCCCCCTCTTCCTCTCGCAAGTGTGCCCCCGACGGTTTCCACGGCGGCTGGGTTACCACACAGTCCAAAAGTTTGGCCAAGGTTCGGCCAAACGTTTGACCATATCGGCGTTTCAGGAAAGGCAGCACGCGGCGGTGACTGGCCATTAGCGCTTCATGCGAATTCGTGTATCTGTATATACACCGGTTTACAGCAGGCCTACACGATAAGACAGACTGTTATGAGAAATCTTAAGGCGCACAATTCGTCGATGTTTGAGGGTCCTAAGGTACCCCACGGCGTCCGTGGTCCCTTGCGGTCCACAATAAGAAACTTCTGCGGGGCACCTGCAGGCAGGCCGATATCTGACTTGACGTGCCTACAGCATTATACTCTCTGTCTCTGTGTCTATCTCTCGTCTCGTTCTTCCGTTATAGCTATATCTCTCTCTATACATATATATATATATATACTCAAACTGAGCCATGGCCTCGACGCACTAGTTTCCCCCTCTGTTCCAACACTTCGATCTCCCAACTTTATTCACGTAGTTCGCACCGTAACAATATCACAACATAGTTATCCTGCCAGACTTCGGAAAAACTCGTCAGCGGCAGCCGTGACACTTTACAGCCTCATCCAACCAGTCCCTCGCCTCATCGCTAAAACTACAGGCCACGAGTAATGCAGGCCTGCCTCCTGGCTCAACAGCCTAGTAAAATTGCCTCCGCGGCCGCTCGTGGCGCCAGCCGACCGCGTCTGCGCCTCCTCGGGCACGACGTGGAGCCCGCCTGCTGGTCGAGCCCCCGTCGGAGGCGCTGGGCTTGCGCTGCCCTCCAAAAGCAAGGCGGGCGATCGAGCACGGCCGCGGCTCTCGAGCTGAACCAGCTGTACATCGCGCTGAGCGGCCGGTCGCCTGGAGGGAAGAAGCTCTGGTCGAGCGCGCGGCTCCTCTCCTCCCGCCGCCCGCTCCTCCTGCTCCGCCTCCTGCTCACTTTGCCCTGAGATTGCCCGATGAGGCACTGCGTCCACCTCCTCCTCCTCCTCTTCCTCGTCCTCCTCCTCTTCCTCGTCCTCCTCCCCTTCCTCGTCCTCCTTCTGCTCCTCTGCCTCGTCCTCTTCCTCATTCTCCTCCTCTTCCTCGTCCTCCTCGTCCCTGCACCCTCCTGCACGTGGTCGTACTCCGCCTGTAACCAGCTGAGCCCTCGCCGCGGCCCGGAGGCATCCAGCCTCCAACTTCTCAGTAGGCGTATCAAGGTGCGTAGATTTAGACGAAGCCAAGACGAGGATACATCTGGGTGAGGATACATCGAGAATCTCAAAGATCCCGCGGTTGAGGAGGATGTCTCCGGCGCCGAAGCCCTCTCAGAGCGTTCCGGAACGCTCTGAGAGCGTTCCGGAACGCTCTGGAACGGATTGATCATCGTCCTAGCCGCGTCTGGCCCTGCCTGTCCCCTGACGGCTGCCCGGATTCAGCATCTCTTCGCTGCGTGAGTTGGGCCGGTGTGCGCTCCTCTCTGGACCTTTCTACGCTGCGACGCCGCGCGCGTGGCCGCGACGCTAAAAAGTGTGCGTAGGCGTAGGTACGTAGATGTGTAGGTGTGTTGGTGTGCGTAGTTGTAGGCGCTGTTGGAGGAGAGGACCGCTGCCATCCAAGAAGCTCCACTTGAGGAGAGAGTGAGGGGGATGATGATGATGATGATGATGATGATGATGATGATGATGATGATGATGATGATGATGCTGATGATGATGATGATGATGATGATGATGATCGTGTGGATGATGATGATGATGATGATGATGATGATGATGATGATGATGATGATGGTGATGATGATGATCGTGTGGATGATGATGATGATGATGATCGTGTGGATGATGATGATGATGATGATGATGATGATGATGATGATGATGATGATGATGATGATGATGATGATGGTGATGGTGATGGTGATGGTGATGGTGAGGATGATGATGATGATGATGATGATGATGATGATGACGGTGGTGGTGGTGGTGGTGATGGTGATGAGATGACGATGCTGACAACAGTACTAACAATAGTAATATCAACGTTACTGTTCATATAATGAATAATGGTAATGCACATGCCGATACGCATAAGTAGACAACAACTGATAATCATAATGATCGTGATGCTGATGATGATGCTGCTGATGCGGCTGATGGTGATGATGATGATGATGATGATCATGCTACTGATGATGATGATGATGATGATGATGATGATGATGATGATGATGATGATGATGATGATGATGATGATGATGGTTACGATGGTGATAGTTAACTGCGACCATGACGACGACTACGATGCGGACGACGCCGCTGATCATGATAGTATTGATAATGAGTTGTGATGGTGACGACGAGGAGTAGAAAGAACATGTACTAGAGATGATGAGAAGGGTGGCGCAGGGAAGTAAGGAGGGGGCGGAGGAGCGACATCAAGGCAGGAGGAGCAGGAGAACGAGGAGGAGCCCGAGGATCAGTGGAGACAAGTCCTGTGACCCACGCGAGGACCCGCAGGTCTCCCGGGTCGCCTCTGGGGGAAGTCGACGCCTGGGTCGCCCCTGGACCGGCGACCAGGAGACCCGTGCGCGGAAATGTCGAAGAACAACAAGCGGCATAAGAAGACACGTCAGGTCGGAAGAGAGGCATGAAGCAGGAAGGCGGAGGAAGCAGACTGGGCTCGGGCGCTCCCAGAGAACGGCACGACACAGCAGAAGCAGACCGACTCCTGAAGCACGAAGGCGCCCGGAGTGGATCGGGATCCAGGAACCTCAAAATGGCCATCGCTCGGACGTCCATTCCCTGTGTTTTTTTCGGCTTCGTGCGTGGCTTCTTCGCCAAATGGGCAAGAATGCTCCTCGATGGTCCTCGCCGAAGGAAAAATGCACACGTGAGTTCGGGTTCCCCCTCTTGGGCCTCTCTTGGGGCCCCCCGTGGGTCGTCTTGGGTACCTCCTGGACCGTCTTGGGGCTCCCTTGGGCCGTCTTGGGGCCCTCCTTGGGGCTCCGTGGGCCGTCTTGGGGCGATCTTGGGGGCCTATGGGGCTCTCGACGACCGACGCGTCGTCTCCGAGGCCCGCGCAGACTTCTCGCATCGGCGCGCCGCCTCCGGCGCGCCCCGCGCGCCGCGGAGGGGGGCCCAGCCCGCGCGGGCCTCCGAGAAGCTCTGCTTTAAGTCGGGCGTGCCCCCCTGCAGGCTAATATTGCACGAAATGTTTTAAAAATCAAACAATCCCAGACCCCCTCGAGTAATGAAAAAATCACGACGGGAGGTCTTTCGCCATTTTCGGCCTCTGGGGGCCCTCACCGGGCCTCGAGAGCGTCAAAAAACGACTCAGGATGACAAACCGGTCCTGGGGAAGGGGTCGAGAACTCTAGGGTCGACGTAATGGAAAATTCATTACGTCGGGGGTCTGGGATGCCCCCCCCCAAAGGCCCCAAAATATTTTTTAAAATCGTCCCCAGACTACTTTTTCTACTCTTTCTGGACGTTCCTCCTGTAGAGGGACAGGCCCGACTGAAAGGTATGCTCATGCCGCTTGCTTGCCATCGCTCGGACTCCCGGCGCACTTGTTCGGTGCCGCGCCCCCCCGTCTTCCACAAGACATGCCAAGATGCTCCCAGATGGCCCCCGCCGAAGACAAATGCGCACGTCCCAGCGCGATGCCAAGCTTTCTGTTCTTCGCTCGGGAATACATATTATATATATATGTATATACGACTCGGGTTTGGGGGACTCGGGATGGCCCGACAAAGCCGTCAAGAAAAGAACATGACCCAGCCTGAAAATTGACGCGAGCTCCAGTTGCAAACGCCCCACGAAAACTGGACCATCAAAACTCAGACGGGCCCACCAGAAAACGCCGGCAAACCCGATATCCAGCGAATTCGAGTCTTACGTCTCCCCGATTCTTGGAGGCCTCCTAGATAGATGGGGCCCGAGTATAGATGGGGGGTCGGAGGATTGCACCGCATCGCCGATGTATCGCCGATGCATCGGGCTCCACACCGAGCCGCATCGCCGATGCATCGGCGATGCAGCGGCGGTGCGGCGCGATCCTCCGACATCCTTCCCCAGACATCCGGCTGCTCAAAATCGGCTCGATGAGTGGGCCCCGGCGAGGTCTGGACCACTTCCCCGGGGCTGGCGTTTCGCCCTGCAGTTGGTTTTCGACCGTCCCGAAGCCCGGCGAGGGCCCCCCGGGAGGCCCAAAACGGCCAAAACCCCGCCGCCCCGATTTTGTCGCCCTCCTCCCTCCTCCTCCTCCTCCTCCTCCTCCTCCTCCTCCTCCTCCTCCTTCCTCCTCCTCCTCCGCCTCCTCCTCCTCCTCCTTCCTCTCTCCCCTCCCCTATTTCTCCTCCTCCTCTCCTCCTCCTCCCCCTCCCTCCTCCTCCTCCTCCTCCTCCTCCTCCTCCTCCCCCTCCTCCTATTCCTCCTCCTCCTCCTCCTCCTCCTCCCTCCTCCTCCTCCTCCTCCTCAGCATCGGATCTCTGGGGAGGCCCCGAGGAGGTCTGGACCGCCTCCACGGGGCCCGTCGCTCGTCCCGTGGGTCGCTCTGGCGCGCGGCCCCGGAGCCCGGCCGAGGGCCCCGGGAGGCCGAGAGAGCGGCCACAAACCCGCCGCCCTGGACCTGGAAAACTGTTTTGGAGCTCTCTTGGGCCGTCGTGGGGCCATCGCAGGCCGTCTAGATATCGGGATGACGCAAAAGGGGGTCCAGCGACAAGGGGGTGATGCAATAGATCTGGTGCAATAGACTCGTGCGGTTGCAATAGATTTGGGGCGTGCAATACATTCCAGGGCGCAAATGTACTGCTGGGTCTTCGCGTGCCATGCACTGGTGGCAACACAATGCCATACAACTCTCTGCCGCAATACACTTGAAATACAACCCTCCCAAATCTACTGCACCACCCCCTCTCAGCCAGACCCCCTTCCCAGACCCCCGACGTAATGAATTTTCCATTACGTCGACCCCAGAGTTCTCGACCCCTTCCCCAGAACCGGTTTGTCCTCCTGAGTCGTTTTTTGACGCTCCCGAGGCCCGGCGAGGGCCCCCCGAGGCCGAAAATGGCGAAAAACCTCCCGTCGTGATTTTTTCATTACTCGAGGGGGTCTGTGCTTTGAGTCGCATGGAGAGAAGTCCGCGCGGCGGGGGGGGCCTCTCGGGTCGTCTGGAGGCGGTGTGGGAGGCTGCGCGGGCCGTCTGCGCGCGCCGGAAGCCCGAGGAGGCCGAGAGGACGGCGGGGGAGCGTCGGACCCCCGGGGTGGAGAAAGGCGGACGTGGCACCCTACGCTCAGATCGGGCCTGTCCCCCCCCATGCAGGGGGAATTTGAGGACGAAAATTTAGACCTTCGGCAGAGCGTATATATGCAAGAGGTTGTCAAGAACACTTCTTCCGAAGATTGCCTCCGGGCTGTTCTGTGGACTGTCTTCGAGCATTCCCCCTGCAGAGGGACACGCCCGACTTCATTCTACGCCTGGGTCGACGCCTGGGTCGACGCCCTCGCGCGCGCGCGCGAGGCCAGCCGCTCACGCCCCGCCCTGGCAGGCGAGCCCAGAATCGAATTCGACAGGTCGGATCGACCATCGAAATGCGCCGGGTCGGTGGAACAGCCGAGTCGGGGAGAGTCGAATCGGCAGAGATCGGCAGGCCAGCGCGCGTCCAATCGGGAATCGGGGCCCAGATCGGAATCCGAGGCCGAATCGAATCGGAATCGGAAGCCATCGACATCGAATCGAATCGAATCGAAGGGATCGAAACGAGCCCTGTAAAGGGGTCCTTTTGCACGGATTCCCACGGGGCCGTAGGCGACCCGAGGAGGAGGAGGAGGAGG